GCAAAAACGGTTGTAGACAGAAAAGACGGAGAAAAAAGGAAGACAAAAGAAATGCAACACTCAATGTTTTCTGTTTCTTAAAAGCACTAACCTAAAACAAGAATATAATAAGAGAGACTTAACAGTTACAACAGGTTTTGACTCTTGTGGGATTATTTCTTAAGACTTCTGCTTACAAGTTGTTAGGTAACTGCGCAAGTTAGATTTTAACACATTTCAAAACATCCTTCTTCTTTTTGTTTTTTTAAATATATTTTATCGATTTTTTACAGAGAGGAAGAGAGAGAGATAGAGAGCTAGAAACGTCGATGAGAGAGAAACATCAACCAGCTGCCTCTTGCACACCCGCTACTGGGGATGTGCCTGCAACCAATGTACATGCCCTTGACCGGAATTGAACCTGGGACCTTTCAGTCCGCAGACCAATGCTCTACCACTGAGCCAAACCGGCTTCGGCAAAACATCCTTCTTAGTACATGAATCCTTGCACCATATATTCTATATAAAGATTGCAATGTTATATTACTGTAATTCTTGTTTAGAAGCTGTTCTTGGAACTTTTTGTTATTACATGGATGTGTTTTTCTTACCAACAACCTTAGCCTATATTTTTCTCCAAACAATACTTGGCCAAAGGGGTATATTAGTACTTGGTCACAGAGCCATATCCTTATATTTGTGGGTTTTGGATAGCCATAAAAAGCAAAAACAAAACACTATTTTTGGAATCTGTTTATCTTTCCCTTTGGTTTGGTGTTTTACTGTAACTAATTCAGCTCCCAGAAAAATGCTTAGTACATAGTGGGGGTACAATAAATGCTAATGAATGAGTCTCCATGAGATCAATACTCTAGGGTTATATAGGGAATACAAATTTGTCTTTATTTGGAAGTGAAAAACTTAATAATTTTGTAGAAGCAAAATTTTCCTAGATGACAGACGTTTCTTTGAAAGAAAATGTAATCCAAGTGTGTAATTCTTTTACATGTAGGAAGAAGATTATTATTACTATAATAATATTTATTGTTGTTAGGACAGTAGTAGTAGCAACATCAGTAGTTAAGTCATGCTAAGTGCTTTTCTTTCTTTCTTTTTTATTTTTATTTATTTTTTATTGGTAAGTACAAAAAGTAACAGGAACTAAGGACTTTTCTTATTATACATTATCATTCATACAGTCTTCCCAGCGACTCTATTGGATAGATGTTATTGTTGTGCTCATTTTCAGAGATGAGGAAATTGAGCTCAGAGAGATTAGGTAATAGGTTCAAAAATCACATGGCTAGTAAGTGGCAGGGCCAGAATATGAACTCAATTTAGTTTAGTTAAGATTTGGACTTGGTACTTTCAATGCTAGAATATGAGTTTAACTTAATTCTCTTCAAAATTTCTACTGCAGTGGCTGAAGGGACATGATAAAAGAAAGGGAAGGAGGTTAGGAAAGAGGAGAGAGAAAGAAAAGGAAATTGATATCTGTACTACAAACTGGGTATGATCACCATCAGTCATCATGCTAGAACAAACATTGGAGGAGTTTCCACAATATGAAATTCAATGTTGAGGTAAGGGTCCACCAACCTGAGAAGTACTGTATATATTCTTAGCTTACTAAAAATGTTTGAAACAAAAAATTGACTGTTCATTTTTATCTGTTGACCATAAAACAAAGTCAAGTAGGTGTTCCTTCACCAAAAGGGTTTTTCTCAGGAGTAAAAGAAAGGATTGCATTCCTGTAGGTGCAGACATGGCAAGTCCTGTGCACACACTCCACAAGAAGGGGGAAACCCTGTACAATGGGGAAAGGGAAGTTAAGGAGAGGGGCTGTACAGCCATAGAGCTCTGTTGTGAACGTAGAGTTCTTTCTGTGGGCTTTCCTGAGGACTTGGTGTGTGAGAGCTCCTCCCACAGGTCTTCCTGATTCCTGTCTAAGTAAAATCTTTGTCATAAATTTCGGCATACCAAATACCTTTCAGCATCTATTTAGATAATCTTATCATTTTTCTCAAGAATATGCTGACTTAATATGCTAAATTATATCAATAATATAATTCCTAAGTATTAATTCTTGGAATAAGACCATTATAGTCATAAGCAAGACAGTTTATTCTTCAGAACCCAGGAACAATTCAGGAACTGGAATTACCCAGGACCTCAGAAGGCATAGGAAAGATCTTGAAATATCATTTGTCTTCCATTAGGATGTTTAGAATTTAATTTAGAACGAAATGTTGTTGCAAGTAAATACTTGTTCCCTGAAGCAATTATTTTGATCATTTTATTTTTATTTTAAAATTAAAAAAAAAAATTTCTAAAGTCCTCTGAACATTAACATCAAATGATCCAGTGAAGTGAGACTGGCTGTTAACTCTTAAACAGTGTGGATCAGAAAGAATACAGCAACTAGTGTAGATAAAACCAACAAATGATAGATGGTGGCCAGAGGAGCAATTATATGTAATGCAACCAGCACACTTAACTTGATATCTTGTATATTAATTAATTGAATTTCAATTAATAAGTATGCAGTAAAGTTTTTAAATAACTGTAAGAATGCAAGTGTCATTATAGGACCTCTTTCTTGAAAGATTATTTTCAAAAAGTTAGTGTAAACATGAAATATTTATAAGAATGAAAACTTTAAAATCTTAACTAGAGTAATTTGGATTAATTACCTTGTATTTTTCTATCTTTTCAGTTTGTATATGCGGTGGCAGTGACATTTCACTTTTGATCTGTTTAGTATTATCTGTTATCTTTTATAATATAAGAATTTGGGAGAATTGAAAGCAGCTTTGATTTCTATCCTTATAATTCCTTTGAATATTTTATTGTTATTTATTGAGCTTTTAGCTTTTATAATGTGACTTTTAGAAGTCTTCAAGTATTTTTTAGACTGGCTAAAAGTAAAAAGACAAATGAGTGAAAAATTTTTCCCTCCTAAATGTAAGGGGATAAGGAACAAAAGACAATGCATTTGCAGGATTTAGAAAGTGATTTTAAATGCTTATGGTGTTTTTTTTATGTGTGTGTATGTTTTTTTTTGTTTGTTTGTTTGTTTTTGTTTGTTTCCTAAAAGAGGAAGAGGGGGAGGGATAATGAAAGATGAGACATGGTTATAAGAAGAAAAAACAAAGATAGGCAAAGGATAGCAGTTGGAAAAAAGTAAGAAGGAAATAAACCAAAAGAAGGCAATTCCCAGAAATAGTAATTCTGAGCTTTACTTTCTTTCATTTAAGTTTATTTGCACTCTCAAACTCCTAACATCTGTAGGTGTTCTGCAGGTTGGAACAGCCCCACCTTTGAAAAGTCAAAGTAGGGGTCAACTAGCATAGCTATAGAGTAGTTATAGATGATTCAGTTTCAGCCACTGGTAGTGAGATTTTGTTTAACAGCTTATTGAGATATAAATGATATACAAAAAAAAAACTGCACATGGTTAATGTATTTAATTTGATAAATTTGGACATATAAATACGCCTGTGAAGCCATCACTATAATCGAGGTAACAACATATTTGTCACTTCCAAAAGTTTCCTTGTGCCCTCTAGAGTTTGTTTTTGTTTGATTTGTGGTAAGAATATTTAACATGAAATCTATCTTCTTAACAAAAAATTTTCATGTACAATAGAGTATTGTAAGGACTAAGCTGTACAACAGATCTCTTACTCATTTTGCATAATTGAAACTTTATTCCCATTTAACAACAAGCCCCATTTCCTCCTCTCCCTCAACCACCATTCTAGTCTGCTACTATAAGTTTATTTTGAATACTTTAAAAAATAGAATCATGCAGTATTTGTTCTGTGGCTGGCTTAATAATTTTACTGAGTATAATTTCCTCCAGGATCATCCATGTTCTCATATATGGCAGGATTTCCTCCTCCTCCTCCTCCTCCTCCTCCTCCTCCTCCTCCTCCTCCTCCTCCTCCTCCTCCTCCTCCTCCTCCTCCTCCTCTTCTTCTTCTTCTTCTTCTTCTTCTTCTTCTTCTTCTTCTTCTTCTTCTTAGGCTGAATAATATTTCATGGTATGCAGATACCACATTTTCTTTATACATTTGTCTATCAATAGACATTTGGGTTGTTTCCATAACTTGGCACTTGTGAAAAATGCTGCAATGAATATGGGAGGGCAGATATCTCTTTGAGATTCTGATTTCAATGCTTTTGGATTTATACCCAGAGGTGGGATTACCAGATCATGTGGTAGTGAGAAATTTTGATGATAGAAGGATATATATATCTACATGTAGAGATAGCTGGGTTTCTAGCAGCTGTTTCCTAAACAGCAAGCATTTGAATAGAACTTATTGGGTCACAGTTGGAGCTTTTTCTCTTTTGTGTGTGTGTGTATTGTTAGTCAGAAGGGAAAAATACTCTTGTGTTACCAGCTAATTGTTTCACTGTATTGTTCTGCTTTCCTTATCACTCTTCCAAATAGATTTTGAAAAAGAGATTGGAGAGTGGAAGAAAGGTTTTAAATTGTTTTTGTTCGTTTTTTTGGAATCTGTCAGAGAGACTTGAATAGGACATGTCTTTTGGCTCATCTTATAATCACTTGCTAGCAGAGGGCTAATGAAGCTAGTAGTTAGATCATTCCCCCAATCATGTACTATATTATATTTTAAAGTCTGTCTCTTAAATAGTCATATTAAATATGTACCTTTAAATATGAGGATAAATTAACACAATCCTACCATTCTGAGAAGAGTCCAGAGTACATACTACGAAGAGTTAGTAGCACCATCTTTACAGAAGGACATCCATTGCCTATAAATTGGAAACCACAGAAATGCTTCAGCCAGCTAATCAAACATAATCAACTTTTCAATCACCTAAACAATCACCTGTTGGCTTTTTCTTTCCAAAATAGTGATTGCTAATCAGAATGGCAGCTTCACGCCTATGAGCTAACACTGAATCAGTGATTTCTGCTGGCTTTTTCCATCATCCTTGTCGCCCCATTTGTCTGGATCTCTGAAACAGTCTTATTTGTATTACAGAGCTCTCATTTGGAAGACAGTGAATCAGCAGCATTACTTTGCTGTGAATGTGAAGAATCAGAAATCTTTAGTGATTCCAATGTACGTAGGTATATGATTTTATACAGTCTTTGATGATTAAGTAAAAGCTCCTTGGCTTTTAAATGGAACTGGAATAGTGCCTATTATTTCATCTATTTGACCTCACTCAGCAAAACATCTGGAAAGGCAAATAAGTGACTTAAAATGAATGTATATACAACAATATGGTATATTTGTATGCATAAGAATCTCTCCTCAAAGCATATCTATAAAAAAATAGAAAAGTGCTGTATCCTGGAAGCTTGAGTAAGCCTCCCTCAAAAGAGAATATGATTGTTTTTGCCAGGGGTAGGAATGGGAATTCTTTTTCTTTTTCTGGCCAGTAGTATCCTTTTTCCTGTGACAATTCTTTTTCTTTTTCTGGCCAGTAGTATCCTTTTTCAAGCTTAGCATTGGTGCTGACACTGTACTTTTCCCCCCCATGTACATAGACCTGATACTCCTAGCTACTGATAATGTTAAGCCAAATAGTGTAATTACTTGGCTGGAGAATCAGCTAGATCATCTTAACTACATTTCATGAGATGTTAATAATTTTATCTCATTTGACCTCCAGCATAGTTGCTGAATTATAGCAAATTACCCATGGAATCAGGCTAAAGTTGCAGAATGACTTAATTTTTTACTTTTTTTAAAATTAAATATATCTTCCATAAGAATAACTGCCTTTGCTAACTATGGCTAATTAGGTTCTACAAACCTTGATGAGAAAATCTTGTTTCTGTCAACTTCAGGATGTTAACTGCATAATAGGCACTCCATAAATTTTGTTGAAGTTTCACCAACAGAAGCTCTCTCTTCAAGTAACCTGTGGCTCTCAATTATATATCACCATAGCTCCTTAACTGTCTTCTTTACTTTGCTTTCATGGCACAAGAAATAGGGTGATCACTATTTTAGAATCTCATTTGACTATTATATTGATTTAACTAGTTGCACTTCATTCAGCATTGATGAGAAGTCTGGAATGGCATGAAATCATTATTGTGACTCACTAATAGCTGAAGTGGTGCTCATTGCTCTAGTTCTTGAAAACATTAACTGATGAATTCACATGAACACTCATTTATTGTCAACATTTGCAGATGACAGACTTAGGGTAGAAAGGTTATATTCTTTGTCTAGTGTGTGATAAGCAGGGGCAGCACTGACATCAGATCTCAGCTGACAATCATCAGTGAGCTCATTATCAGCAGGCAGCATCATCATTGACAGAATATGTGCCAGCTTCTTGTATAGTATTCTACAAGATTTATTTTGTTCAGTCAGTGGTGCAGGCCTCTGGATTTGGATGGACTTATTGTTTTGACTGATTTTGTCTTAAAGAGACCAGTTAGTGGCAATCCACATGAAGAATATCTTTATGAAGTTGAACAGTGATGAAACGTGATTATAATTTTAATGGTTTTCTTCCTTAGAAACAATTCGTTGGGTATATGTATTTGCTGATTACCTGGGCTGCTTTTTATTGCCAGAGCTTTCATTCATTTAAGTCAGATTTGTTTTGCTTTTTCTCTTCAAGAGGCAAAAGTACTTATATATACTTGGCTGGTATTTTAAAGGTATTAGATCATCCTCCCATTTTGTTTGTTCAGGGAGTATTTCCCACACTTTTTTCTCTTTTCTCATCTCCCCATTCTCACCCTCACATCAAAGGAGATTGAAGAGTTCCTTCCCAATTTGAAGGCTTAAACTTGAAAAAGAAATTACTTGTAGAGCAAACAAATTGAAATCCTCACTTTGACTTTTCTTCAAAGGAAGTGATATGGCCGAAACCGGTTTGGCTCAGTGGCATCGGCCTGCAGACTCAAGGGTCCCAGATTCGATTCCAGTCAAGGGCATGTGCCTTGGTTGCGGGCACATCCCCAGTGGCGGGTGTGCAGGAGGCAGCTGGTCAATGTTTCTCTTTCATTGAGGTTTCTAGCTCTCTGTCCCTCTCCCTTCCTCTCGGTGAAAAATCAATAAAATATATGTTAAAAAAAAAAAAAAGGAAGTGATATGGCATCTGGACAACTGTTTAAAATAGAAGTTAACCTGATGTAAAGAAGAGTAGAAGATAAAATCAATCACTGAAGAACTTTCTCTTTAATCTTGGGATAACAGAAATATGAAATTTGGTTAGCTATATTCACTCATTCCTTTATGTATACATTCATACATTCACCAAGCATTGATTGACTGTCATGTATAAATCATCGGGCCCAGAGCTAAGAGGATTATGCATAAAATATAGATTTACTCTAAGAACAAACATTCAGCAATAAAAAAAAGTAATGTCTGATAATCTAATGTAAAATATGGTAACTATAGTTGATAAACTATCCTATATAATAAAAGCCTAATAAGCTAAGTGTCCAGTTGTTCAGTCATCCATTCAACTAATCAAAGCATAATATGCTAATGATATGCTAAGGCCACTCAACCACTCCCTATGATGTGCACTGACCACCAGAGGGCAGACAGTTGATTGGTCAACTAGTCTCTATGTCATGCCCTGACGGCCAAGGGACAGACACTCCAATCGGTAGGTTAGCTTGCTACTGAGGTCTGGCTGATTAGGACTGAGTGAGATGGGCTGGACATGCCTTGGAGCTCTCCTGCGGACCCTCCCCAACTGGCCAATCTCCTGCATCCCTCCCTGGCCCTGATTGTGCACTGGTGGGGTCCCTTGGCCTGGCCTGTGCCCTCTTTCAATCTAGGACCTCTTGGGGAATGTTGGAGAGTCAGTTTCGGCCCAATTCGACAGGCCAGGCCGAGGGACCCCACTGGTGCACGAATTTGTGCACTGGGCATCTAGGGTGTTGTATAATTGCTAAAAGAGCAAATCTTAAATATTCTCATCAAAAAAAGAAAAAGAATAAACATGTGAAGTGATGGATTAATTAACCAGATGGGGAGAATCTTTTCACAATGCATATGTATATCACATCACCACAATGGTGCACTTTAAATATTTTACACTTTGTCAATTATACCTCAGTAAAGCTGAAATTTAAAGAAAAAATCTATTGTATAACCTATTTTTCAACAAATTAGTTTTATGGGTATTCACGGAAAGCCATGATGGTGAAAATCATTGATATGCAGTACATAGGGAGAAGAGCAGAAATCTATGAATGAGTGGAAGGAAGTTTGGCTGGAGGCAAAGGGATGGCTCTCTTTGGAAGAGGGTTGGCTGCTTTAGATCTTCTGGGGCTTTTCCAGAAGAGAAGAGAGGAGTGTATCGAGGTCACTGTTCCCACTCAGCCTCCAGGGAACCATATGAAGGATAGAAGCAGCTACTTGTTCCTTCTGTTGTACACATGCCGGTTGGAGACCCCAGAGCAGGATCACGGTGTGACTGGAAAAGATCATAGAAGAGAAACATACTAGCCCTAGCTTCAGGAATTTCACTTTGGCTCTAGATAAGAAAGATTATAGGCAGTGACTAGGGCAAGATGTAATACTAGTGGCTGTAGCAACCACTGAGACTCTTGAGTGTCCTCTCCACTCCCCACCCCCATAACTACTGCTATCATTCCTTAAAGAAGGAAAAAAGCTCTGCATGAGCTGAGATTCCAATTATTGTGCTTGTGGGGGTTCAGCTAGAAACAAATGAATTCATCACTGTTGTAGGGTTGTTTCTTCTCCAGCCTGAAGATCAGGAAAATCCTTATAATATTAGTTTATTTCCTAAGAATACAACTAATTTTTTTGTCTCCTTTCCATGCTCTTCTGACATTATTCTCACCCTCTAGGGACAAATATAGGTGATTGTGCATTTTTTAAATAAATTTTTATTGTTCATATTATTACAAATGTTCCTTTCCCCACCCCCCCTTCCATTGCTCTCCTCCACCAGGTTCCCACCCCACCCTCTACCCCCTTCCCACCCCCACCCCCATTGTCCTCATCCATAGGTGCACAATTTATGTTCAGTCTCTTTCCACATCCCCCTCTCCCCTTTTCCCTAAGAATCGTCAGTTCACTCCCCTTCCATACCTCTGATTCTATTATATTCAACAGTTAATATTGTTCATCAGATTTTTTTTTAATTTCCTTTGTTTTTAGATTCACTTGTTGATAGTTACATATTTGTTGTTCATAATTTTTATCTTTATTTAATTTTTCTTCCAAAAGAACCCCCTTCAGCAATTCATATAATTCTGGTTTGGTGGTGATGAACTCCTTTAGCTTTTTTTATTAGTGAAGCTCTTTATCTGACCTTCGATTCTGATAGCTTTGCTGGATAGATTATCTTTGGCTGTAGGTTCTTACTATTCATCACCTTGAATATTTCTTGCCATTCCCGTCTGGCCTGCATGGTTTCTGTTGAGAAGTCAGCTGACAATCGTATAGGTGCTCCTTTATAGGTAACTACCTTCTTTGCTCTTGCTGCTTTTAATATTCTCTCTTTGTCTTTTGCTCTTGGGATTTTAATTATGATTTGTCTTGATGTGGTCCTCTTTGGATTCCTTTCGTTTGGGGTTCTGTGAGCTTCCTGGACTTGTAAGTCTAATTCTTTCACCAGGTGGGGGAAGTTTTCTGTCACTATTTCTTTCAGTATGTTTTCGATATCTTGCTCTCTCTCATCTTCTGGGACCCCCATAATTCTGATGTTGGTTCGCTTGAAGTTGTCCCAGAGGTTTCTTACATTATCTTCAATTTTCTAGATTCTCTTGCCTTCTATCTTCTGTGGAGGAGTGTCTTCTGGCTCTTTATGTTCCAAATCTTTGACTTGATTCTTGCGATCTTCCATTCTGTTTTTAGGACTCTGTATAATATTTTTTATTTCAGACAATGTATTCTTTATTTCTTGTTGATCCCCTATCATTTCTTGTTAATTCCTTATTAATTCTAGTTGATCCCTTTTCATATCCTCATAGGTCTTATCGATCTTTTCTAGGAAATTCTTGAAAAACCTTATAAGTGTGGATTTGAACTCTATATCCACTCACTTTTTGTCCTCCATTTCTTTCGTTTGTGATCTATTTCGTCTTGGCATTTTTGCAGTTTCCCAG